CCCCAAAACCCCAAAACCCCAAAACCCCAAAACCCCGAGATTTGGAACCCAAGTTGAAACATTGAAGTTTGAAGTGGTTCAGAGGGGATTAGTTACTGATGAAACATTTTCTTACAGATGTCGAGAGGGCTCATGTTCAGTATTTCCTCAGGCATTGGCTTTTCTTCAAGGATTCAGAATACGAGGTCTTTGATCACTTTGTGGCAAGTTGACTGCGCGATTGAGACTATAAGTTATTGGGCGGAGAATTTACTTAAAGGAGTGTAGATTGAAATCTGATGTACATTTGTTAGTAGTTGTGGGTCTTCGTTGCTTAGAATTTTTTCATCCTCTTTGTGAGTTGCTGTTTCATTTCCCATGTAATTAAAGTCAACCACTCCTTTGGTATTTGGATACTTGCTAATGATTCTTTTAATCATCATCAAAATTCCTGACTGAAAATGAGGTGGAGAAGTAAGTGCAAGAAGTCCTAATCTTTTCAGAAACCCTGTCATTAAATCATTTGAGTACTGTCTCTTTTGAACCAATGCAATATTAATAGTCTTCAACAAAGCAAGCATATCAGTAACATGAAGAGTGTCAATCTCGCTGATGACCAGAACAAGTGCGTTGTACAATCAGTTTGAGAAGTCTTTTTCTTCAACATCATTAAAGGCATTTCCTGCTCCAACAGTAATGATCTGGAAGCATCATAACAAAGCAGTGGTCAAGTTTCCAAGGTTAACCTTCTTCCTCTTAGACTCTTCATCTACAAACTCTCTGAGTACGTTCATTAAGTCCCATACGATTTCAATATTTACATGAGTAGCAAAGTTAGGGAGGTGCAAGAATACTCCTCTTAGCAGAGGAGAAGTGGCTCTGTTCTTCAAGAAGTCAAAGTAGATTCCCAAAATAGCCATAATGATCTTATTATTAAGCTCAGATGTCTTGGAGAGATCAACTCCTATAGCATCGGTTTCTTTCATCTCTTTAATAATTTCAACTTTCTGATCTCTTGCTTCATTGAATTTACCCTTTCTGAATTTCTTCCTAACTTGCTTCTTCAGCTGTTCTATTTTGACAGTTTCCTGGTTGAGCATCTCGATATCATCTTTTCTGATAATAATGTTATGAAGACCTAAGCACTCAAGAATGTTGCTCTGGAAGAGGACATGAGGCTTAGACTTCAACTCCTTTGCGATTTCTTCGATGATAAATAGCTTGAGCTCTTGTGTATGATGAGCTTTACTCAACATCATATCAAATACAGCTTTGGTGCAGATCTTATTGATCTCCGCAACCTTGCTGGAAATCTTAGAGGTTACGATTCTTATAATGTTCTTAGCATAGTTGAAGTGATTTAGCTTATTCATACAGATGGAATAACATTCAAAAGCCTCTATTTTTATCTTCATGTATTTTTGAGCCAGATCTTCAGACATCCCAATAGTCTTGAACTTTGAGAAAGTCTCAAGAACTTGCAAATACCTTCTGAAAGAGTCAAGGAGATAATTCTCTTGCTCTCTAAGTTTTCTAACTTTCTTGGAAAGAGTAGCTTTTCCATCCCTTTTAGTGTCAACGTCTTCTCTGATCTTGTAATCTGGGAGAACATCACAGAAAACGAGGATTAATTGACGAATAGAAGCAAGGATTACTTCAATGTTAGAGTCTTGACAAAGAACAAGGAGATCATCAATTTTAGAATAATGGGTATCTACAATGACAAAACTTCTATTTCCCTGCTTCTTAACTTGAGTAGTTGTACTAGAGACTTCTCTAGCTAATATTTTAATTAACTGAAGCTTATCATCAAGAGAAGCCACCTTAAGCATCTCAGGAGTCAAGGATGGATCTTGGTCAATCTTTTTGTATCGTTTTTCTACTTGAGGTCTATGAGAATCATATTAGAGAGATTTTATAAAACTAGAAGATCAACTCCTTAGTATTTGTAATGAATTTCTATGAGTAAAATGTTTTAACTCTCAATAAACATTCCAATGATTATTCACTAGGCACAAAAACTGCTCAAAAACAGTAATGAGCATTGTATGGAGACCCAAATACTTTTATAGAGATTTTAAATTATATGGCATATCATACTCTTTAGACTCTTCCTTTGGTTTGACCTTATTGTTTTCTTCTTGCTTTCTCTTAGCTTTTATTTCTCTTTTCTTTGCTTTTCCCATGATTAACACGCTCAAATTAAAATTAATTTCAATTAGCCATTGGTACTTTGGGGTTTTGGGGTTTTGGGGTTTTGGGGTTTTGGGG